TGTTTGTCCATATCATCTTTATAAAGCATTCACTGATTGTACTACAATTGTGATTGTTTTAAATTATTTCCCTTCCAATACTTACTTAGATTATTCTGAAAAATCCTTAACTAGTATTCTTTTTTCCCATCTCGTGTGCTTCTCTTCTCTCCCTACACTGCTACCTGAGCAATTATCCTATGCACAATCTGTCCCTATATCTCCCGGCTTAGAGCTGGCCAATGGCCTCACATTACCTACAATTATAATTTCAGACTCCCCATTGGGCTCTGTGTATATGGCTCTCCATTGTGTAGCTCTTACTTAACCTTCACTCTCTGCACCATTCTTCCCATCATATCCTTTCCTGGACCCATGTGGACTTTCTTGAGATTCTTTTGATGTGCTATAACTTTCACCCCACAAAGCCCCCCTTTTTACACAGAAAGCTCTCTCTATCACCAATGCTGTTAGGGCTATATCACCTTTGACCTGCAGTCCTTGGTTGCGTGGGTGACTCCCCACCATTCTTCAGGGCTCAGCTCCAGTGTCTCCATTTCCTAACCTCTTCATTGTCACATCATGAGGCTAAACTAGGGTTTTCTCCATATTCTCAACTCTCACCCTACACAGATGTCTAACATAGCACTGAATTCACATTTCTAGCCCATCCCACTCTATATAAGTATAAATATAAAAATATAACTAAAGAAGTTTCTAAAATGATCAATGTTGAGCATAAATTAATGATGTATGCATATCTCCAGGGCCTGTCACAGAGTTGGTATGTAGTAAGTGGCCAGTAAATATTTTGTGGCATATATGAATGAATAAAACAGTACAATACTTTTTTCCAGCTATAATGACAGTAGCAAGGAAATAGGAGCATAGGGGCATTTTACTCCCTCTTTTTTTTTTTTTTCCAGGAATTACAACTGTCCTTACCATGACCACCATCAACACCCACCTCCGGGAGACTCTCCCTAAAATCCCCTATGTGAAGGCCATTGACATGTACCTGATGGGGTGCTTTGTATTTGTGTTCATGGCCCTTCTGGAATATGCACTGGTCAACTACATCTTCTTTGGGAGGGGACCCCAACGCCAAAAGAAAGCAGCTGAAAAGGCTGCCAGTGCCAACAGTGAGAAGATGCGCCTGGATGTGAACAAGGTAAATTTAGAGGGCCAGCCCTCCTTGCTTCTTAGACGCATAGAAGAATGCCAGCCATAGAGGTTAAAGGCCTTTTTAACAAATGAGGAAACCAAGGCACCAGGAAGAGAAGGGTTATTTCCCCCAAACCACAAAGCTAATTAGGAACAGAGGCACAATTACAGCCTAAACCCACTTGGATGCCCTTTACCTTATGGTAGGTTTGCCCCAGCCATAGTCATTGGAGAACCACCTTTGTGACTTTGTCAGTATATGAGTATAATGTGTACACTTACTTACTTTAGATTTATTTAAATGTACTCACTTTATTTAAATGTGTTTAAAAATGAAATTTCATAGCACAAAATTGGTATCACTTGCTAAAAGATCATCTTAAGTATAAATAAATAAAATTAAATTATGTTATTAAATTCTACATTATACCAGATGAAGGCTCTGGGCCTGAGCTCTAAATTCTCTTTGATTTAAAAGGAAGATAATGAAGTACAGTGATGTATTAAAGACCCACCAGCAGCAAACTGAGACTTTCTCCTTGAAGTCATCAGAAAGATAGAAAGAGACGTGCAAGGGGAGAAAAGAATAATTTTCTCCTCAACTGATAGATCATTACTTAATGCCTTGCACATGTACCACTGAAAATCACTGAAGCATCTGGCTACAGGAGGCCACGGCCTTGCTCAGGTCAGACATAGTCAAAGAACCATTCTCACGCCATTGTAAACCCGGTTCATTCTTTAAGGACACAGTCCTCAACTCTGAGTGCCCAGATGAATGGCCGGGAGAGCGTTAAAAGATACTGAAGCCTGGGTTTCTTCCCCAGAAATTCTGATTAGATTGCTCTGTGCTATGCCTGGGCCTCAGAGTTCATAGC